AACCATAGGAGAAATATGAGTTTGATTAGGACCACGAGAGTTAACAAGGGCATCTCCGAATCCTTGATCCAAATAAAGGCCTGGATTGAACATATCTTTGGGGCGCATATTGAGGACTCAAACGAACAATGTGCGTAAACGTCGCCATATTCTTAAGTGATTCAATCACGCATGGAACCGTATTGCTTTTGAGAATTAACTTTAGACATGGCCAAAATTTCCTTGAGATATTTCCTTATGATTGACTTAGGAACGTTTTGGTTATATTAAAACATCTTGGAGCCACGAGTAACCTTTGAAATCACATATGACCATTTGACCATGAGGGCATAGCCTTTGTTTATCCACAGGAGAATCAACACAACTTGTAGAAGAATAAAATTCTGATGGGCCTACACATAGGCTTTATGACTTTCAAACTTTCTTCAGCAAACCTACAAAACAAACAAAGACTAGATAAAATGGTTAGCTATGCGTGGATGATCGACTTAACATGACATGCAGAAAAAAAACAAGGAATCTAAGGGTAAAATTTAGGGTATGACATATGTTTAACATACAAGTGCTCAAACATGATTCATAATATCACCACATATCCATTAGTTTCAAACTGCATCATAAACTTAAACACACATGGATTCTAAACTTCACTGAAGTTTTGATAGAACCATAGGTTGACAAACCTCAAAACAGGCCTGGACAGAAAGTTAACATACCCACCAAGTCATGTTTTCCTCAAAACAGATGTACATCCATAGAGTTTTTTCATACTAAGACCAAGTAAATCCAAACAGCAATCAGACAAATTTGTACCTATCATACATGCTTAGCAGTTCTAAACTAGTTTCAAACAGCAATAAACCATGTTATGCAGGGGTTCTTGTTTATAAGTCCAAGACTTAACTCTAGCACAATCATTAAGGTCTCATCCAACAGAAACAGCAGCAGGTTTACATGACAGTGCCAAAATAAATCAATGTGTATACTTCTACATGAGAGCTACAACTCTATGCAAGCAAGCACAAACCAAATATTATCACATGATTTAATGATTCCAAGACATATTTAACTAATGCATATCAATGAGAAAGCTTTAAGTCACATACCTCTTGTAGACCTCCAAGGTGAGCAAGCTGCTTTGATTGAGAATACTTTGAGTAGGTTATCCAACCTTTGATGCAAGCTTCAGAACAACCCTTGACTTTTTACAAGATTGAAGTTACTTCTTCTTGAAGTAATGAGTGATCTTTGATGACAGTTTTAACAAATGGTGTTCCAACTGGTTTTTAATGACTTGGACAGTTGGTACAACATATATATGAGGTGTTCAAAGTGTCAAAAAGTTCAGAACTGGTCTAGGCAGTGTGTGTCATCAACTTATGCAGAAAAGTCAACATTCATGGCATGAGGGGTTGACTTTTTGTGTTATGGTATTTTTGACTGAATTAATGATTGGAACACCTTCTAAATATTATTTAGATATTGTGTGGATGATTTTTGGAGTGTTTAAATGGTTGGATAGGGTGCTAGTATGGAGTTTGACCAAGACAACTTTTTGAGGTTTTTTGTGTGGATTTTCTTCACTTTCAAGTAAGAACAAGACAAGATGAGAGCTTTATTTCTCTTGGGATTTAGAGTATGCTCTGGTGTGTGTTTAGTATAGAGGGAATCTCTATTTATAGGCAAGGCAAGGATGAGGGCAGATTTGGCATTTGGCTTGCAAGTTGGCTTTTTGGAGGGAAGATCTTGATAAAATCCAAATGTGATGCTTTCTGCAGATTGTGCTTGATTTCAATGGTCACTAGCCTCAAAAACCAGCTATCTTTGAATTATTATGAAGTGACTATAGAGGTAGCCAAGGCAGGTCCTCCTGCGGCAGCCAAAAGCAACTTCTCTCCTATTGTACTTTAGTACCTTATTTCCATTAAATAATTATCTTGGACAAATCTTTAGCTTTGCTTGGAGATTCTTCTGATTTTGTTCATTATACACTCTTAAACATCATATTAGATGTTAATCCATGGTCCATAAATCAACTGAAAAATTGGGAAGTTAGTTTATGCCAAGTTTGGACATGATGCATTTCAAGTGTTTGGACCCAACTTGCTTTCTTCAAAACTCTCAACTCACAAACGCTATGGAGGATTTATTGTACTTTTTAGAAATCCCTCATTATACTCTACAAATTTCATGTTTTTGGGATTTTCAAATTCCAAGTGGAACTAGGTCCAAAATCCTCTTGAAGTTGGCTGAAAACATGACTTGAAAGTGCTAAAAACTTGGAATTTTACTAAGTGTTTTTCCCCTCTTGTGATGATTTTGATCATAACTCCAAATATATTCATTTTTTGCATATGGATCACTTTTAAACTTTTGTAAGGCTTTTCAAGACCTTTCCAAAAAGCTTTGAACCACTCCATTTGGATGTGTGGTTAGGAAGTTATGGTCTTGTCCCTTTCAAAACCCTAATTCCTAACTTTTTCGATTACTTCTCAATCCTTGATCCAATGGTCACAAAACTTTATGAATATATGTAATATACTATTATGAACATATTTTATTTCAACTTTGGGGTCAAAACCCTTTTGGTCAATGAGTTGACTTTTCAGTCAAACAAACCTATCGATCGAAACTCCGAATCGACTGTTGGTGTTCTGGGTCCTCTAAGGTCTTGGAACTTCTTGAGTGGACTTCAATAAGTCATATAAGCTTTATGGACCATGATTCCATCATTGGAATACCATTTAAATCAAAAGTCAAACCACAGTTGACTTTTCCTAATTAGAAACCCTAATCGGGAGTCCTGGACTGCACTACTCTTGATATTTGGATGACAATCTCAAATCGAATTCATACTTGATCCAATGTAGCATTTTTGATGATGTAGAGACTTGTTTCATGAAGAATCAATCCAAGACATTAACTGATCAAACCATCGAAACCTCGATTCCTAACTGTATGGAACCCTAATTCACCTGTATCTTGATAAAGACAAACTCTGAAATAGGTTAAGGTTAGATAACAAAATGATGATGGTCCTAGAACAATGATGAAGATCTAGGGGTCAAAATTTGGGGTACAACACACGCGTGATGTTATCTCTTTTCCAACCGTAGTTGTATATATTTTTCATAGTAGTGGTGCCTTCGGGAAGCATACGTAGGAGCTACGCAAGAGAGAGTCATCGTTGTCTCCGAGAAGATAGATGGTCAATAACCGCCCTAGTAAGTGGGGAGTGGGTAAGACCACGTCCAAGGAGAAAAAACCCAGGCCTCAGGAATCCTTATAAATACATTATCCCTCAAGGGGATAGGGGACAGATTCTCACGTCATACACATTTACCACTACTCAAATAGCATTACGCTCCTAATAGCTTTAACACCGTCAATATAATTGTTCGCATGCAACCAAACAGTGTTATCCATCATCCGGGTCTCTCACCTCACATGAGTTAGTCTCTCAATCAACCTAAAAAACCACTATATATGATTACTCGTCGCCATGAGCTAACCCTCACCAACCAAACTTGTAATATACCTACTGGGGCCTTTGAGTCTCCCTGCCCTTACAGGTGTAACACACACCCTATACTTTTTGGACAGTGCAATTTCCAAACACAATTAAGAGTAAGCTTCGAATAAGCATCCATATGAAAATTTGAATGCAACGGAGAATTTAATTTAGCAAATTCAAATTTAACAGAGAAGCCATTCACATCGATCCACCATATAAACTTATCTTGAAATTTTGATTTAGGTGAGATATTGCACAAGATGGTAAGCAAGTTGTCGAGCTCAAGCTTTGCCAGATACGATAACAAAGTGCTTCCAACAATGTTCCAAGTCCAAATACCATTAAGTCTCCAATTTTCTTCCTAGACATCGCAAATAGAATCATTATCCATTAAAATCCTCCAAACCCATTTACTTAAAAGCACCACATTAAAAGCTCATAAAGTTTGACTTCAAAGTTCAAACCCCTCACCAGCTTTGGACTTGCATATTCAAGACCATGTCACCCAATTTATCCTCCTAAGGTTTTCATCAATTCCAATAGAAGCCACGCTATATTCAAGCTATAATTTATTAAAACTACGGTACCCCATTTACATCTCAAATATTAGTTAAGACCTGTTTTTATATTTCCATGGACTCTTGTATTTTATTTTCACGCCTTGTACGTTTAGTAGATTTATCAATATCAATTTATTTAATACAAAGATATACTGTATTCAATATAAAGATATACATGGATTTCATGAACACAAAAAAAAAATTTAATAATAATAAATAAATCGATTAAATATACACACTATAGATTAAAAAGGATTAAAAAAAATAGATAAAAAGTATTAAATTATTAAAAACGAAATAACTCAAACAATTCTCTCACATTAATCAACTGCACTGTGACCGCAACCTTTTGTACCGAAAACGCTGTGTTAGCCCAATTTGCTGCACATTCAATCCTAACAACAAACAGTTTTTTCAATTCAACTGCAGCAACCAGCATAATCATGAGGTTATTCCTTTTCAATTTTCTACCTTTGTTGCTGCACATTTTTGTTAAATAATTTTATACAAAACAAAATTATTAGTATTACTATGTTATGCATGTAGAAATTTATGTAATCATTATCTGAAATTGATTTCTCAGTGATGCTGCTACTGTTTGTTACCATGTTACTGATTAATGATCATACATATAGGTTAAATTTATCTTTCTTTTTTTCCTAATTTTAAATTTTTCATTGTATGAGTTTAAGGAATAGAATAAAAGGGAACATGATAGGTGGTAGCACATGGAGAATATTTTAGTGTTAACCATATTATATATCTTCTGTGTTCATATGCAGAGATTAATATCTCGAGTCCGATAAAATTACGATCAATAACCAAACCTTTCTGTAAAAAATTTAAATTGATCTATTTTTAGGGTTTGATTCGAATCGGGAACAAGTTATATTTAAAGAGATCTAAATCATTTCAACAACAACAAAATGTCCCCTTTTGATTCTTCTCCTCAGACAAGTCACAGCAACAGCACTAGTCCAAGTGGTGGTGGTGATGTGTTGCTGAAATGGGGTAAAAGAAAGAGATCAAGAGTTTCTAGAACTCTCATTGAAGATTCATCATCTTCTGTTCATGTAAATCAAAGGAAAAAGTTTCCTGCTAAGTTTTCCTCTGCATCTATGCCTCCTCCACCACCACTTGTTTCTTCTTCTACTAACTCCAATGCTAGAGTTAGAAAACATAATAACCCTAGGTATTATTAATCAACATTTTCATTACTTTGCATTGTTACAATAGCATCTTTTTTTTAACATCTTGAATTTGAACACGAGTAGGAATTTGGAAGATTCTTCAGAGGCTTCAAGAATGAGTTCAATTGTTTCTAGATCTGCAGAACAGAAAGTATCTGTTTCGTGTATTGAAAGAAGTAACAGAAGAATGTCTTGTTCAAGTTCAGCAGCAAAGTGTGATAAGAAGAAGCGAAATGGATCTTCAACAACACAAGCCAGTGAGAGATTGAATTCTCGTGATAATGATAGTAATGGAGAAAAAGTTAGTGTTAAGGTAATTGAATGGCCAAAGATATACATTGGTCTTTCAAAAAAAGAGAAAGAAGATGACTTTCTTGCAATGAAAGGGACAAAAATATCTCAGAGGCCAAAGAAGAGAGCAAAGAACATTGATAGAACTCTTCAGGTACTACCAATGAAAAAAACTATCAATCTTTTATTATGTGATTTTTTAATTTATATGAATGATAAATTGGTTTCTTATGATAATATTATATTATGATTACAGTATTGTTTTCCTGGAATGTGGCTACCAGATCTAACAAAGAGTAGATATGAAGTTAGGGAGAAGAAATCTGTCAAGAAGGTAACGTTATAAGAAATCACGGTTCATCGATTAATGATTGCTGGATTGAGATTAGACATTTTATAAAATATGCAAATTTTGATTTTGTATTGAAAATCCAAAATAGATAGCCATGTGATTCGGATCGTTTGATCTTGATTCAACGGTAATTCAGATAGTATGAACTAAATTGACGTTTGCTTAATATTAGTTTTTGTTATGATGTTGTGTGCAATATGAAAGACTGAAATGGTGTTACCTTGAATATGCAGCAAAAGTGTAGCAGAGGGTTGAAAGGAATGGGAAGTTTGGAAAGTGATTCAGAGTAGGAGTAACAAGCAAGCACATAATTTAATTTTTCAATCAAAGCTTGGTTGGTGAGAAGTGAAAACTCATGAAACAAAAATAGAGTTTCTTTCTTTTTTAAAACGGAACCAAAAAAGTGTGTGACATTAGTTAAAAGTAGATTTAATTGAGTCCCTTTTTTCTTTAATGTATTGTATAGAGATTATTATTATTTTTATTCAAATTTTGATTATTATATTTGAAGCTCTGAAGACCAATCCATTCATATATGTGGGACCCTATTGTTTGAGAATGTCAGTAAAGTACACACATGAAGGTAACTTTAGTGCTCACATTTTAAAATTGGACATTCAGTTCTCTATTATGTACTATTTATAAAAACATTTTTTTTCTAAATCAAATTTTTAATCTCAACCATTATATTTGTTGTAATTTTGTCAAACTCCAATTTTTTTTAATTAAAATTAAATAATAAATCTTGGAAATATTAGCTAATAATCTGACCTATTAAAGATTCTTTAATATGTATGAATATTATAGTTAACTCGTTTAACTATTGCTTATAGCATCAGTTTTACTTCATTAATGTTTTTTAGAAAATCAAAACTATTGCTTATAGCATCAGTTTTATTTCATTAATGTTTTTTAGAAAATCAAAGGGATGTTTTTTAGAAAATCAAAGGGATGTTTTTTAGAAAATCAAAGGGAAGTTATTGAGAGTATCTGCATGCAATAAATAAATTTGGTCAAAAAGTATTTTTTTTTCATTAATTTTAGTAGAATGTAAATTTTTTATGCCAAAAAATTATAAATTTTAATTCAAAATAATATTTTCTTTTGAGATTTAAAATTGAGACGGTAATTACTTCTTAAATTGATTTATAGACCACTTAGTTTATGTAGCTCCAGCTTACTCAATTTTTCTTGAGCGTGATCATTTTAGTGTAACCTAATTTTACATGGATATCTAATGACTATAATTTTATAAGTATTTTTGAAATTGTAGTAACATTTTGTAGATTTACCTTTTGTTTGAATTTCTAGCTAAGGGGGAAAAGATGTTCAAGCCAAACAAACTTAATAAAGTTGGTTGGATTTTTGTTTAAATTGAGGGTTAATTCTAAACGAAAGCTAACAAAATACAATTACAAAGTAACATTATCAGTAAGTCTAACAAGGTGGTTGCAACATAACTCTCATTTGAAGTATAAGCTTCCAAGCATATTCAACTGCTGGTTTCTTGTAACTATAATAAGCTTCCAAGCATATTGACTGTTCTACCAACATCAATGCCAAGTACCTAAGATATATCTTTTCAGGTATGAACAAATAAAATGCTCTACTTCTAATAACACATACATATGGAGAGGAAAAAAATTCATGGGTAATTTACTAGGAAACACAATGAATTTGAACTGCAACATGCAAGAGCATGCTACATGCTCTTACATCTGTTTAAATTTAAATTTAAATTTAAGACCCCTCAAAATGCTAAAGCAGCCTAACCATACTACCTCGTTCGCAAGTTCAAACTTGAATTAACAAATTTACACTAAAAGGGGATGCCTCAGATGATAAACAATTGTACATTTTTTAATAACTAATTTGATTGAACGTTTGTCCTTGTATTAGTATCCTTTTTTCCTACGAATAAATTACAGGCACCTGAGGCGGTCTGCAAGAGTAAGCCAGCATTGCATTGGACGCTGAGCTTTGTAGAGGTCAAAAGAAGAATCGCATCTTCAAGTTACAAAGCACATGGGACATTCTGCAAACATGCACCAGCAATTCCTTGGTGGTGATTGTGTAGTCCAAAGAAGCCGAACATCTTTACTTTCTCATCAAGTTTCACCTTTATGAAAATGAGTGGGTTCTTGAATCCTTGAGGCTCTATAATTCAATATAGATTTTTTTTTTCAGACTTGAGCAAATTATCATAAAACAGATATAAAACAAGAAATTACTAGTTAAAAACAATCACAAAACTCATTAAGCATGCACAGAACGAACCAGCCGTTGGAAGGATCTGTTGTGTGAAGTTTTCTTTGAACTCTCGGGATCTGGTTTAGCACGATCCAGAGCCTACAAAATAAGCGTAAGTTTTATTACACAACTTATACTGAGTAAATCAACAAACCGTTTACGGGAAAATGACCACTATGCACTTATACCAGACAAAAAGTAATTGATCAGAAGCATAGAGATTGTCGTTAGCCAATGCAACATGATAAATTCACTTATATTATATCAACTCTTCAATGGATGACAAATAATTTGAGGCATTGTAGATGGGCTTTTAGTGCCAGTTAAATCAAATTAGGTGCATTCCTTGGCAACAAATAAACGCCAATATTAGAACCATATATTTAAAAAGTAAAGGAAATTGCCCTACTTACTGCACCTTGAAATATGGTAGATATTGCTCTTGGTGCTAAATACTTAATAAACTGGATGTTATCTTTGGTTCTAGACAACGAGATTCCTCATTCACTTTTGCATCAAAATGACCCCTATGTTGTTTCTCCATATGTTTTTGGCTATCCTTGCTTTGTTCACGGTCTCTACTGAATGTGATAAGTTGTTTGGTAGCACTATTGATCGTGTTTTTCTAGGTTATTCTAGAGTTCATAAAGGGTACCTTTGTTATTCACCTACGATACATGGTTCAAGAGTTATCTTTGAGGATTTGCCATATTTTGCATCCCTAGTAGAAACAATGCCCATCCTCTAGGCCTGGCCAATTCCTTTACCTTGAGTCATCAGCCAAGACTCACTGTTCATACTACCCCACAATCTTCAGGTAACTCTCTTGAACCAAAACATATTGTTCATCAAATGTGTTGTTTGGTATTACTTCTTCTGAATGTCAGCATCAACTTATCCCACAAATAATTCGTATGACTGGTCTAGGCGATTTAGCTTTATCTCCGGTTATCCCCCTGCTTTCGGCCCTCCCCAAGTCATCTTTAAACATTCCTTTTACTTTTCATTAAGGTAATTGTTAATCACTATTTCATTTATGATTTTTTTAGTTATGATTGAATGTTCCCTTGCCATTGAACCTTCGTACCTGCTATATATAATCTATTGCGCCGCTATAATTATTAAAGAAGCACTATCCCATCTAAGGTGGTGACTTTTTATGCATCGCTACGGGTGTACGGTACCGAATACAAGTATGTTAATATAGAAGAAATAAATATATGACAGATAAATATAAAACATATGTAGGAAAAGAATATAATTCAAAAATCATATGAATAATATAAGAAAAATAAATACACATGGTTGCAGGTTATTTACTAAACAAATAAATATCAAGAAATGAGTAATAAACAAGCAACGTGGAAACGTTGTTTCTGTAATACCACTTGAGACAGACTCCGACAGTGAGAACTGAGAAGTGGTGTTCTATTTCCTGTAGTGTCTATCACAAAAAGAGAAATGAACTAGTTTTTGGTTTTGCAATAAAATTTCCGTCCCAGGATTTTTATTTTATTTTTTTGGAAAAGCCTGTGATGGATAGGTGAACCCATTCAAAACTCATCTTGTGGCAAAATGATATACTCAAACTAACGTCTAGTATTATGAATAGGGTTAGGGTTTCTACGGTTGTTGTAAACATTATCCATAGTACCAACTAGACATTAAAAATATCTTTCTACATGGTGACTAGGAGGAGGTTGATATGGGCCACCACTGGGGTTTGTTGCTTAAGGAGAGTGAGATTTTGTTTATGTTTGTAAACTTGCGGAAGTCCTTTTATGAGTTTGAAATTGTTGTGCTTGCTTTGGAAAGTTTAGTAGGTTCATTCAATGGTCTGGATGATTCATGAAGCATATCTTTAGATGAACAAATATCGAGCTTCTTGTAACCACGAGGCAACACATTCAAACTCAGGCAGATAATAAAAATTTGTGGGAATATTAAATTATCTCACAATAACCGTACTAGATATAAATATTACCCATTAATGTAGCAACTCATTCCTTCTTGTGGTAGTCATTGCAAAGTTGTTAAAATCTTGAGGTATATCAAGAGATCATGGAAATAGGGATGGTTTATGCAGAAAAATGTCACCATGATATTGTTGGATATTCAAATGCAAAATTGAGAGCAAGATGCTAGCCATTGGAGGTTTACTCACGGTTACTATATTCTAATTAGAGGGACTCTAATCTCATGGAGAAGTAAAACTCAATCGGGTTGTGGTAAATTCAACTATAGATGATGATTATCATGTTATGACTCATGGAAAATGTAAACTTAAGGTTGGTTGCCATTTTATTTGAGAAATGATTCTTGGAGGCATCATCAATAACTATTTGGTGTATTCCAATGATCACCTAGAAGACATCTTCACTAAATTATAGAAGCATTTTAGGATAGCATATATATGTCAAAGGCTGGATACTGATGACATATGTGCTCCACTTAATGGGGCGTACATGAGCTGATCGGGCCGCATGCATATGACATACATGCTCCAACTAGTTAGAGGAGGAATGATTGTTATGTTTTATTATCTCTATCTTTTCTTTTTTTCTTTCATTATTTCTTATAATTTCTCGTTGCTGTTATTTAGCCTCCTCAGTAGATTCACAGCTGTGATCTCTTTCACCCCTAAGTTTTCGGGAATGCCTTTTTTATGTACAAGTTAAGTTGTACATGGAGATGTTTTTGTATCGTCAAATAACAATAAGATCAGTTTTAATTGATTTTAAGTCTAAGTGGCAAACCAATAATGTAATATCAATTATGCACCGCGTTCTTTATTAATCAAGCATATTCAGTAACGATTATTAGGGTGAGTTACCTTAAATAATCCTACTATGAGCTACCACAAAAGTTTGATTGAACTAGTAAAATAACATGCATGATTACCTGAATCAAGGACTCCACACGACGACGCATCCTAGTATGCATAAATCCTTCTGAGCACTGTTACAAAATATGCATAATGGTGGTATAGATTGGTATCAAACATTCTTACGCGGGTTTATTGTAAAAATTAAAATTATCATAGGGCAGCCAAACATACAAAGGTATACAGAGAAAGATCCAATTCCTTTCCATTATATAATCCCTCCCTTCAGCATTACTCCCCCTTCCAGATGTTTTACAGACAACTTTTTACGTCCAAATACATATCAAGGAGATCCATACTAAAATACACTCTCTCCCCCATATTCTGCCAGTGCTTCTTTGGTTTATAAATAAAAATGATACTCTAAATAATTTAAAATATCCATGAAATGTTCTACTGATCTTTTTTGTAAAAAAAACAAAACATTAATTTGAAATTTGAATAGATCATCTATATCTAAACATTATACACGGACATCCAATCATATCTTTTTGGGAAATGCTAACGAGTGCCCCAGAGGCAC